ATTTCTTCCTCGAGCATGTGTGCTTTCAGAATGGCTAATGATAGTTATAGAAAGGCATTAGGTCTTTTATTCATAGAGTCACTATGAGTCGTGCTTGACTCAACAGCAATCAACAATAACAACAAGCCTTAGGGCATATGTACTCTAAGTCTAGAGGAGAGAAGAAAAGTTCATACACGACGTACTCTACTGGGTTCATTTCTACTTCCTAGTGTCATATTTCCTTCATATGAGATACAGGAATAATCTCCAATATACTTGACATTCTGACAATAACATGTAAGCTGACTACCACACAGAATGAGAAATTCAGTACCTACAAATGCCAGGCCATTTTCTGTGCTAAAAGGAAATAAAATGGTGCTTTTTTGTTTCTTGGGGATAGGAGTATGGTTGAGTGAATGAGGCTTATTATGAGTAATAAAAATCACTATTTATCACAATTTTCCATTTTAAAGCACTTTTTATTTCTCAATAGAAATGACTGTAAAAATATTATAAAAATGAAATTCACCAATTTTATTACCTTGGTTTGTACAGCTACCATGTAGCAGAACTGGGGCCACTGCCTAGAGCTCATGCTAAAAAGCAATTTTTTTTCTTCTTGTTAAACTAAACCCAGGTCTTCTATACTAGATAGGAAGGGGGGGGAATCTTCTGCAAAAATTAGTAGCTGGAACTGTCAGTAACAGTTCTCATCAACTCTCTGGGAACTGTTCAATAGTTTGTTATTTCTTTGTTTTCTCTTTATTTTCCTAAAAATTTAGTACGCTATAATTCACTCCCCAGCACTGCTCAGTCAGAACCTACACAGAGCTGACCCTGCAGTGGGTTTTTGGAGGCTGTAAAGTGCGTGGGAGGACTCTGCCTATCTCTCTCTTTCAGAATTGCTGGAGAATTCAAACTACGAGAGAAACACTGTGTTTAGTTTAGTTGGCAACACAACTCCCTACTGACTACACCTCACCAGGTCTCCCTAAGCTGTCATTAACAAATAGGAACATAAACATTTAGCTATTAATGTTTTAAAATAATATAGAATCACAGTATTTATTAAGTATATACTGTTTTCCAGGCATTCTAAGAATTTTGTATTAACTCATTCAAATGTCCATCATAGCAATGTGAGTCAGGTAATTATTCCTATTTCAAACTGAATCATAATGTCAAATAAAATGCAATGTATTTCACAGCAAACAAGAGAAATAATTGAGGCCAGCAAACCTTCCATTTTCATGACTACAACTACTGTTTCTGGTGGTGGTGGTGGTGGTATGTGCTGTCGATCATGACTCATAGCAACACCTACCAACAACAGATTTCAGCCTTGTTCTGTCCTGTGCCATCCTCACCATCTCTGATATACTTGATCCCACTGTTACAGTCACTGTATAAATCCATCTTGTTGAGGGTCTTCCTCTCTAATGTTGACCCTCCACATTTCCAAGGATGATATTCTTCTCCCAGGACTGTCCCCTCCTAATAACATACCTAAGGATGTGTCTTATTGGGAAAATATGCTGTCAGAGACTTCTCAAAAATAGAGAGGAACAGTGATGTCAGCTTACAGACTAAGGTGCATCTGATCAAATGGTCTTTTCGATTTACTTCCTATGGATCTGGAAGCTGGACGATGACTAAAGATGGCAGATAAAGAATCAATGCCTTTGCCCTGTGGTGCTGGAGGAAAGTACTGAGTACTCAATGGACTGAAAAAGAACAAATACATCTGTCATGGAGGAAGTGTGACTAGGTGCTCCTCGGAAGCCAGGATGATGATGCTTCATCTCACAAACTTTCTGGACTGTTTCTATAGATAATATGATTTATATAGTACGGCTTCTTCCAGAGTCCATACCTACTTGGAATTTAAACTGACAGAGGCGAGGCCCAAAAGAACCAAGAGCTATCTCTTTATATGTTAAAAGCTCTTATTCTGGTTCCCTGCCTGAAGCATATGACTTTAGTTTGAGTTCTGGTGGCCTAGGGGTATTGAATCCCAAAGGCACATGGTTTGAATCTGCCAGATGCTCTGTGGGAGTCTTGGCAATCTCTTCCCAAGTGGTTTACTGCCTCTGAAAACACCCTGGAGGGTTAGATATTAGCTGATTCTCACTCCATGGCATACAACAACAACAACATGGATTACTAATGAGAAAAATTTTTCCCCCTACTCGTGATAGTGTGGCTCTGTGTTATGGTCTCAAGAAGGCAAGAGTATGTGAATACAGACAAAGATCTAAGTTCATCTGTGGGATCCTACAGACCACCAGAAGGAGGAGAGAAGTGATGATGTATCCCTGGAAAGCATCTGGAGGCCATTCAGTTAGGTCTCCCTGGGAAGAAGGCAAGAACTGGTTACTCTTGCAGCAAGTATGTGAGGATTTGAGTTTAAAGGTACATTTCAAAACAGACGAGTCACTCACATTTTAAAATCAAAGTTCAAAGCCCCCTCAATTTAGTTATTTCCACAGTGCTTAAAGGGAAAATGAGGATACTGGTGACAGGGAAAAGTTGCTTCTCAGAATTCAAAATAAATAAATCTTCATAATACTAAACTTCCCTACAAGATAAAAATTTGAGCTAAAAATAAATAAATAGATATAATA